CAGTCGCACAGGTACACGTACTGCTGTGCACGGAAGAGCTGCATCAGCTGTGAGGACGGGCGCTGCACCGAGACGATGGACACGGTGTGCGTCTCAAACGGGAAGGTGGCCATGAGGTCGTCCTCGGCGCCGTCGGCGTTGAGGGTGAGGTAATCGATGTGGCGCGGCACAGCGAAGGCGCGAAAGAGGTGCGCAAACGTGACGGCTCGCACCGTGCTCTCCCGCTCATAGTCCGCCGCCTCGAGACGTTCGAGCACGCGAGCCACCTCCCCTTCCCGGCCAGCGACGACGGCGTTCTCGAGGGCACTGTAGGGGCTGCGAGCCCCGAACGGTCGCTCCAACGTCAGCGGCACCGTGCCTTCGACTTTCGCCACGCCGACACCAACCACCGTGCAGCTGCGGGTGGAAGTGAGCCGCTGCTGGAAGTAGGGCCGAGGCTCGAGGCACAGCCCGCCCCACCCGTAGTCGCGCTCGAGCGCGAGGGTGTTGGAGTCCTTGACGGGATCGCTGGCGGTGAGGTCGATGAAGTAGCCGCCTCGCTTGGCGCCCAGCAGCGCCAGCACCGCCCGGTCCTGCTGCGCCGAGCTGTGCCACGCTCCCGAGCGCCCGTTTGCTAGCGGCATGGCGGGAAGTGTCGAGCGGACAAAGGGCTCGTTGGAGAAGCACTCGCCCTTCGAGCACCTGGGGAGCTGCCAGAGCCGCCCGGTGCCTGCTGCGGCATGCCCGATGGGCGTTGGGGCGGCATAGAGCGGCGCCGGCCCCTCGATGAGAGTGGCTCGCTCCGCTTTTGTGCGAGTGCCAACGCCAAACGCGAGCGCCTAGTGAGGGAAGGGCGCGGGTGGGTCAGAGGTGTCAATCGCACCGTGGCCAGAGAGCAACGGCGGGAGCGCCTGGTGGACCGAGACGAGTTTTGGCACACCGCCCGTCCAGCTGAGCTGCCCATCGTCGGTCGATTTGAAGGGGCAGCGGTAGGTTCCAAAGGCGGCTTCACAGTGCCGCATGAGCCGGTGGCGCCCATCTGGGCTCCATGCCCACCGCCGCCAGCTGTGGCACACCTTGCCGACGCGGATGTCGGTTGCCGACGAGATGGACGGAGCCTTGCGGACATGCAATGGTGTGAGGAGGTGGGAGGGGCGGACTCTCACTTGGCGTTTCCCGCTAATCAGAGCGCCTCGCGGTGCACAAAGAGCATGTTGCCGGCCAGGCCGCAGTCGCACAGGTACACGTACTGCTGTGCACGGAAGAGCTGCATCAGCTGTGAGGACGGGCGCTGCACCGAGACGATGGACACGGTGTGCGTCTCAAACGGGAAGGTGGCCATGAGGTCGTCCTCGGCGCCGTCGGCGTTGAGGCTGAGGTAATCGATGTGGCGCGGCACAGCGAAGGCGCGAAAGAGGTGCGAAAACGTGACGGCGCTGGTCCCGGCTCGATCGCCCCCCTCTCCCAACGCCCGCTGCCACTCGGCAGCGGTGCCGATCCCGGGCTGAGACTCATTCGTGATTGCAGCCACCCGACACCTGCGCGTCGTGTTGGTTCGCAGCTGGAAGTAGGGCCGAGGCTCGAGGCACAGCCCGCCCCACCCGTAGTCGCGCTCG